CACCGTGTCCCCCCGTCCCCGGTAGACGGGAGAAGCCGTGAAGGAGTTGCTGCGGCGGCTGCAGGAGCTGCAGGGCGAGCGGGCCGAGGCGTACCGGCTCCTGGAGGAGTGAGTACCAGGAACCCAATCCCCCATCCCAATTTTTTGGGGGGGAAGGGGGCGTTGGTGGGGTTTTTTTTCCATCCTGATGGGAAGAAGCTGCCGGGAGGGAGGGAGCAGAATCCGTCGGGGCGGGTGATGAGCTCCAGCTGGCAGCCATTCGGGGGGGCGGGGGGACACGGGATGGGACACCTGTATCCTATTTTAGCATCCGACAGGGGATGATGGAATTCCCGGGATGCAGGCTTGGGAGGGAAAAGGCAAAAAACCAACTCCCCCCCCCAAAAAAAAAAACCCATAGAGCTGCCAAACCTGTCCCTGTGCCAGGGGTGACACTGCCTGGTTGTGGGGACTAAGATTTTGGGGCAGGAAAACCCTCATGGTGGGGTGGCAAAGGGAGCTTGGTACCAGGATGGGAGGGGGGCACCATCCTGGTGTGTCCCCCCACCTCTCCGGGTGTAGTGATGGTGGCTCTTCTTCCTCCTCCTCCCCCTTCTTCATCCCTCTTCATGCAGGGGCCACCGGGCCTACCTGAGCAGCGCTCCCCACTACGACTTCCCCCGTTACCGGCAGCTGGTGCACGAGATCACGGTGGCCTTCAACGGCATCTCCCGGGAGGTGCTGCTCATCGCCGGCCGCCTACGGGACCAGCTCGCCCGCCCCGACCTGGCCCAGCACCTCGCCCACCTCCAGGAACGGGAGCAGGAGAAGCTGCAGCTGGTGGGTACCAGGGATGGGGAGGATGGATGGGGGGTCCCCACTGATTCATAGAATCATAGAATCGTCCAGGTTGGAAGAGACCCTTGGGATCATCGAGTCCAACCATCTCCCCTACTCTACAAAGTCCTCCCCTACACCATGTCCCTCAGCACTGCATCTAAACGGCCCTTAAACACAGCCAGGGATGGGGACTCCACCCCCTCCCTGGGCAGCCTGTTCCAATGCCCGACCACTCTTTCGGTGAAAAATTCTTTCCTAATGTTCAGTCTAAACCTCCCCTGTTGGAGCTTGAAGCCATTCCCTCTCGTTCTGTCACTAATGACCTGTGAGAAGAGACCAGCACCAACCTCTCTACAGTGTCCTTTCACGAAGTTGTAGAGAGTGATGAAGTCTCCCCTCAGCCTCCTCTTCCTCAAACTAAACAGTCCCAACTCCCTCAGCCACTCACCAGCCCCCTCACCAGTTTCGTTGCCCTCCTCTGCACTCGCTCCAGCACCTCGAGATCTCTCTTGTATTGAGGTGCCCAAAACCGGACACAACACTCGATTCCTTGGGGCTGCTTTGTGGGTGTCAGGGGGGGAGGGTATCCCACCTCCTGCCGTGTCCCCACCGCAGACGGCGCAGCTCCAGCTGGCTCGGCAGCAGGCACAGGACCATCCTGAGGTGGACACCCATCAGCAGGAGGTGCAGGAGCTCAAGCACAAGTAGGTGGTGGCCCCACAAGATGTCTCCCCCTCCTCCCCCCATCTTGGGATGGTGGCATCCCCTCTCCATGGTGAGCCCCTTCCTCACCATTCCCACCCCCCTCCAGCTCAGGGGGGAGGAAGGGGGCCCAGAGCTTTTTTTTTTTTTTGAAGGTGGGCACCTTCCAAAGTGGTCTGGGCTGTAGCCCCGGGGAGATTTTTGGCGATGCCGCCCGCCCGGCCACGGTCCCCTCGGCCTCCCCGGGCTGAGTGTTTCATAAACAGCGCGGGGAAGGCGAGGCGGCCCAGATAATACGCTCCATATGGACTTTATTTATAGTTTCCATCCGCTCTCGTAGGCTAATTAAAACCATTGAGGCAATCAGCGAAATTCTCCAGGACCTCAAGTACGATTCGGAAGAAGTCGAGTGATGGGTGTCCCCGTGGGAACGGCTGGAGGGGCCGGCTGGTGGAAGGGGGGCCCCGCTCCTGGCCTCTAATGCAGCCCCCCCCTCCCCACCCCGGGGGCACACACACCAACCCCAGCAAGGTGGGCGTCTTCTCTTCACCCCCTTCTGGGGCTGGAAGGTGGTGGAGAACCCCCTCCCCAGGACCAGAGGGGTCCCCCTGAATCCTGAGCATCCCTGGGTGGAGGGGGGCTGGCGTGGGGGTGATTTCCCCCCCCCAACAGCTCTGTGGGGCTTTGCCCAAGGCTAAACCACGACCCACAGCACCGAGGGGCTGCCTTGCTTCGATCCCCATCAGGGATTGAGCCCCACAGGCAGCAGCCCCCCCCAAAAAAACCCACCTCTCCGAGCTCAGCTGTGCCCCCAGCCCCACAAGTGCCCCCTTTTTTTTTTTTTC